TAACACAGGACCTAGTCGCAGTGCAGACGTCGCTGACCATTTGCGATAGTAACGTAGAAGTGGTGTTCGCTGCGGCCTACTTACCGGGGGACAGCAGCTATGCCCCACCACAAGAGGTACAGAGGTTAGTGGAGTACTGCAGGAGGAGACGGCTCCATCTTATAGTGGGGTGCGATGCGAACGCNGGGGCAGCACGGACACAAATCGCAGAGGTGAGTGTCTCTTAGAGTACATTTTAAGCGAGGAACTTAGCATCCACAATGTTGGCCAAACACCGACATTTGTCACGAGGGCTAGGAAAGAAGTACTGGACGTTACGTTCAGCAACAGATTGGCTAGTCCTCTGGTCACCCAATGGAGGGTCTCGTCGGAACCTTCATTATCGGACCACAGGATTATCCAATTTGTGTTGGGAGCGAAGGCGAGAACAAACCAAGCAACTAGAAACCCCAGGAAAACTGACTAGGAGCGATACAGCAAAAATTTAAAATCAAAATTGAGTGAAATACAGTCCAAGAACAGGCACGTCGATCATATGAGGTTAGAGAACACCGTTAACGAACTGAATGGCCCCATAATGGATGCCTAGAAGACTAATCACCCACCGATCAGTCTGCTGGGCTTTGGACTCCTTTGATCGGTACAAATCCCCTGGGGTGGATGGCATCTGTCCAGTGTTGCTGAAGCAAGGTAAGGAGTTCCTACTGCCACACCTCGTCAAGATCATGCGGGCGAGCTTAGCGCTTGCCCATATCCCCGAGGCGTGGCAGAGGGCTCGGGTTATATTTATCCCGAAGAAAGCTAAGAGAGACTACTCTCTCGCTAAGTCCTTCAGGCCGATAAGTCTTACCTCCTTTCTGCTAAAAGCAATGGAGAAGGTCATCGACCATGAAATTAGGAACAACACCCTTAATGCAGCGCCTTTGCACCCCGACCAACATGCCTACAGAGTGGGCAGGTCCACGGACACTGCACTATACGCCTTGTCCACGGAAATACAAGGTGCTCTTGAGTGTGGGGAGACAGTACTCTGTGCCTTTATCGACATTAAGGGGGCGTTTGACAACACCTCTCACGGTAGTGTCGACAGGGTGCTTGAAAAACGTAACGTACAGGCAACCATCCGTAGGTGGATAGTCAGGTTACTCAATACAAGGATAGCTGAAACCGACATCGGGGACGGCGTAGTACAGCTACAAACTACAAGAGGTTGCCCACAGGGAGGAATTTTATCCCCTCTTCTGTGGAGCTTAGTTGTGGATGAACTTCTTCAGATTTTCACTGACAATGGCATCCGCTGTCAAGGCTATGCGGATGATATTGTGATTATTGCCAGGGGGAAGTTCGTGAGCACTCTATGCGATATAGTTCAAAGGGGACTAAACCTTGCAAGAGGCTGGTGCTTGAGTATGGGCCTGAGCATCAACCCNACCCGACGGCGGCGCTAGGGGTGATTCTGGAGCTCGAGCCACTACACCTTACCATTGAACCGACAGCAAAGCGAACTCTATTGAACTTCGCAAGAGAAGGCTTTGGTAGAGGTAAAATCCTACCATCGAGGTACAGGGATAAGCTAGGCTCCCAAATTCCATTAGCTCTGTTCCCCAGAGACGACGGGCCCAAACTAGTTAGCTTTGACAGGAAATTCAAAATAGCGCTTTGCACCAAGTCGACTTGGAGCACCTCTTTTATGGAGAGGCAGATACAAGCGAGCTCAATGCAATGGTACACAGACGGCTCCAAAACTCCCGAAGGTATTGGGGCAGGCGTTCACGGGCCAAGGCTAAAGCTTTCGGTACCCATGGGCGTATACCCAAGCATCTTTCAAGCGGAAGTCTATGCCATAAGTCTGTGTGCAGAGATTAACCTGCGTAGGAACTATCGTAATGAAAGTATTTTGATCATGAGCGACAGCCAGGCAGCACTCAAGGCCCTATTATCATTTGAGGTCAAGTCCTCTCTGGTTCTGGAGTGTATTGATAAGCTCAACGCCCTGGCGGAGTACAACGACATCCAATTAACTTGGGTGCCAGGTCACGTAGGAGTTGTCGGCAATGAGGAAGCGGACCGACTAGCTAGGATGGCAGCCGCCTCGTTGCCTATAGGGCCTGAGCCCTTCATAGCGATTGGACCTAGTACAATCAAGGAAGAGCTCAGAAAGGAGAGGAACACAGTAAGGAATCAGCACTAGCGTAACACGGCACGCCAACGCCAGGCCAAAAGCCTACTGGGAGGTAAGAACCATACAAGGTATAGTGCAATGATAAACCTTCCCAAAGAAAGACAGGCTTTCTGACGGGTCACTGCAGACTGAGAGGTCACTTGCACAGGTTGGGGATCTGGTCTAACGACCTATGTCGGTTCTGCGATGTGACTGAGGAGACCCCTCTGCATCTGCTTCGCGAATGCGAGGCAGTTGCGAGAAGACGGGAGAGACACCTAGGCCAACTCTGGCCAAGTGAGGAAGTCTTACAATCGCTAGCCCCCGGAGATCTCCTTAAATTTTTGGGTTCCTTGGGATTAGATGAGGTACTCTAAACAGTCGAGGGCACAATAGATCATTTGGTCGCAGTGCATACCTCTACTTAATCTATCTATCTATCTACTAAAACTAACTAAAACTAAATAAAAAAATTCATGATTTTAGTTCGCACGAAAATTGGTCAGGTGATAGTTGATATGATACTTAAATCAAATCAAACGTTCAGCTGGCTGTATATGGGTAGAAAAACGTTCAGCTGAGGCAGTGAAGGTGTAACGCAGAAAGCAACATATATGACCGACGCTCTCAGGGAACGCGTAACTTTAATACGTCAACTGAACGTCTTTCCGCATACAGTCAGATGATGGTGTTTTTTTTGGTTTAAAGTGATATGTGAACTATCATATAACCAATTTTCACCTGAACTGAAAGAATGTGTCTAAAGTTACACATATTTACTGATGCAACTTTCGTACAAGTGACGTGCATGTTAACAAATGAAGAAGTATATCAATAACCATTTTTATTTGACGTACACAATATTATACATAGCATATAAACATAAATAAATTTAGGTTTCTTCCTCGCATTGGTCTGCTGACGAGCTTGTAGCGTCGTCATCCGAATCACTATCAGAATCGCTTTCGGAAATCTCATCATCTCATCATCGAGATATGTTTCCGTCAATCAAATCCAATGTCAGCCGCTGTGGTGTAGTGGTAAGCAGTGCGCGCTTTCACTCATCAGCACCTGGGTTCAAGCCCTGGTCAAAGCAACATCGCAAAAAAATATAGAAAAACCGATTTTTCTTAGCAGCGGTCGTCCCTCGGCAGGCAATGGCAAACCTCCGAGTGTATTTCTGCCATGAAAAACAGCTTCTCATAAAAATACAATCGCCGTTCGGAGTGTGCGTAAAACTTCAAGTCCCTCCGCTTTGTATGACAACATAAAGGCGCACGCCATAAGTTTGAGGAGAAGCTCGGCCATATATTAACATATGTGTAAGCGCCAATCTATTATTATTATAACCAAATCCATCCCAATTTTAGCATCAGCGTGTCTGAGCAAGTACGACCGACCGACTTCACAGGCGAGTTGAAAAATGGCAACTTCAAAGAGGCTATTGTTAAGTTTATTGTTGACCATTGGGCAGAGGATTACATGGTGCCATTTATAAATAATAAAACTATTTATGTAAACGCTGACGCTTGCCATAAGTATATATTTAGTCAGAGATGGTATAATAATCCGAAGCATAGAGCATTAGCTGACATATTCTAGTCAGGAAGAGGCAGACACTAAGTTTATTTACCACATTTGTGAATTACAAAGTGATACTAACGTAACGATTCGGTGTTCCGACACTGATATTTTAGTCATGCTCGCCAATATGAGCAATATAGACAAGAATATTAATATATCGATGCAAGTTGGTGATTGCATGAGTAAATACGTGTAACTTTAGATAAATTCTTTCAGTTCAGGTGAAAATTGGTTATATGATAGTTCACATATCAATTTAAACCAATAAAAAAAAAAACGTTCATCTGACTGTATGCGGGTGGAAAGACGTTCAGTTGACGTATTAAAGTTACGCGTGCCCTGAGAGCGCCGGTCATATATGTACCTGCTTTCTGCGTTACACCTTCACTGCCTCAGCTAAACGTTTTTCCACCCATATACAGCCAGCTGAACGTTTGATTTGATTTAAATATCATATCAACTATCACCCGGCCAATTTTCGTGCGAACTAAAATCATGAAATTTTTTTAATTTTTAATTTTAGTATTCACCTGAGCAGCTGAAGTATAACTACGGCGACCATTTTAACCAACGTTAAATAAAAGACATTTTTTTTTAAATGATAAAAGTATCGTAATTTAAATCAAACATTTACTAGTACATTATATTATCTACTTGTACAAGTTTACCTTTTTTAAAGACGCTTGGATTATTATTTTGTTATGAAAGCTTATAAACCTAATAAAGCGAATAATTTCACAAGAAAAATTTTAAATGTTATAAAAAAAATTTCACCAAAATTAAAATTACATTTGAGTTTTGAGAAAACTTTTTGGTATGCAGTTTTATAGATCATTAAATTGTAGTATAATATATGCAAGTTGCAAATAGCTAGGAGATTGCGTTGATTTTTAATAATTTTTTTTCGATAACACTTCGAGCACACCTGCATGCGTAATGGGAAATAAATGCGTTTGTTTTATTTTTAAAAATCAACGGGAACTCTTAGACACTTGCACCTTGCTCTTTATTATTATAAAATTTAATGATCAATTAAACTGAATATACCAATTTTTAATAAAAACAAATAAAATTATTTTGGTGAAAATTTGTTATAACATTTCAAATTTTTTTGTGTTTTTTTTTCATGTTGGAAGAACCAAACAATTGCTTTCAACTGGTTTTTATTATGTAACATTTATTAACGGAAAAGTAGAATACATTTTCTTCAAAATTGCTACTTTTTCTGCACTTTGCACTAAAAAATTTTAAATAAAAAATTCACAAATAAGGCTCCACTGAACACTTGCAAATTTTGTAAGCCTTCATTCAAAAAATTAACCAAATGAGTGAAAAATGAAGTCTCCAGTGAATTATGAACACTAAATGCCAGCTTTGAAACTCTGCGTGCAACACGTACTGGGCCCAACTTTCCCTTTCTTTCGAGAATTTTACTCAAAGTATGTATATTAATTTTTCTATCAGTATTAGCAATGATTCCTGATTTATAGATTGCACGAAGATTATCGATTAAATAGCAACCCTTAAGAGAGCTGCGAAACAAACTGGCGAAGGTTTTCATTATATTTTATAGGGGACATTTTTATTATTTTATATTCTCTGTTCAAAAATTTACCTCTGAAAAATCCAGAACTGATTTAAAGGACAGATTAAGAAATAAAGGACAAAATGCGTCCTTTATTTTGAAAAAAATTATAAAGGACAGAGAGCTAAAATAAAGGACTGTCCTTTGAAATAAAGGACGGATGGTCACCGTAAGTATAACTCACCCACATACAGCCAGCTGAACATCGTTTTCTTGATCTTTACTATACACTCTAACCAACGGCGCAGCGGAACGTTACTACGCTTCATAGCGACATCATACGAGTCATATATGTATATTAATATGGCCGGAACTTAAATTATTGACAAAAATATGTCGGACTATAATTGACTGTAGGAAAAAAAGTTTTTTTAGAAAGAATCTTGGAGGTCTGTCTAGTTCACGGTGTCTGGGAACAATAAAAAGTCTGTCTGAAATGTGGCTAAAAACTCGATGTGGGTTTCTTTTTATAATGACCTCAGATGCTAGAAAATTACCATCTAAAAATCCGATCTGATTTTTTTCTGAAGAAATTTGAAAAGAGAATGTTTTCATTCCAATTTTTTTTTGAAAACTAAAAAGATTTCTCTTAAATACAGCACGAAGTAGCCCAATCGGGAAACAGGTAAGCACCTTACGAGGTAATCTTTGTTTTCCTTCAGTTAGTTAAGACCACCGCACAGTGGTCGGAGAAACCATGCTTTACGCGAAAAATTAGAAGGGCTGTTACGGTTAAAATAAAACTGCGGGAACGTAGTATCGTTGTAATGATAAATCCGAACATTCTATAAAATTTATACCTGTCAAATCAACTGCCAAATTCTCTAAAATTTAGAAAATCTTTTTGAAAATACCACTGATTAGGTTTTCTGACATGCTGATCACGAATTTTATGTCAAATTAAAATCCTAACAGCTGGCAGCTGTCAAATCAACTAGGAATTTTTATAACAATAAGACAATTTTTAAAAAAACGCCACTGATTAGGTTTTTAGACATGCTGATCATGAATTTTATGTAAAAGTAGCTTTTATCCGCGGGTTTCACCCCACGCCAGAAGGAATTAAAGGGGGTAATGTGACTTGTGGTTTCGAAGTTATGGATGATAAAAAATTCCAAGCCTATGTTAAGTGCCACACCCCCTTTTACAAACTCATTTATATATACCTTATAAGCACCTACCATAGATATGTCTGCATACCAAGTGTTATGTTTATGTGAATTATGATTCCCAAGTTATAGCTGGTAAAATATTCTACGCCTTTGGGATTCGCAACCCCCTTTCACAGTCTCATTTATATATATACCTTACTATAAGCACCTACCATAGATATGTCTGCATACCAAACTTCAAGTTTATGTGACTTACGGTTCCGAAGTTAGAGCTGATTAAATAATTCACGCCTATTGGAGGTACCACGCTCCCTTTTCCAGTACCGCCAATTTCTTCCCATGTGTATGCAATTAATTTTATTTATCTCGACAGTAAGTTCCAATTTTCTACCACAAATATTTCAAGAGATATACAACATGAAAATTTTAGTTAGTATAGGAGGTGCCATGCCCTCTTTTCTAGTGCTGCCCATTTTTCCCTATGCCTTCTTTTCTACCTTCCCAGGGTAAAAGCAAATAAGTGTGCAAAGTTTCGTGCGATTCCGTGCAGCGGTTCAGAAGTTATAAGGTAGTAAACAAACAGACATTCACATTTATATATATAGATTAAAACACTGACAGTTGACAGCTGTCAAATGGACTATGCGATTTGCTAATAAGACAATATTTTTAAAAATTCTACTGAAAAAGTGCGAAGTGCGTGTCAAATAAAAACCTTAAGAGTTTACGACGGTCGAAGGGGCTAAATA